CGAGGGGATGTCAGCTCTCTTTTTCCAGGAAGCATTAAAATGCTGCTTTGGAATAATGCATGCCACAGTCTGTGAAAAGATGTAAAGTTCATGTAAGAGACATGAAGTCATAAACTCATGGTTAGATCGTGAATGTCACCTTAAAGCACAAAGAGGAAGAGCTAACAGTGACAAAGTAGCACAGCTCAAAATTAAATTGCCGGCATTAGAAATAAAAAAAAAGCCACCCAATTGAGATTCACTTTATAGTCTTAGAGGCACACGAGCTTTTACACCCACTAATGCAAAGTGCCCGAGTGAACCTCGAGCAAAAGCCGGTTTTGATGCATGAGACTTCTTTTTGACACGAACACAATCTAACTATATATTTCTCCAAGAAAGGAAATTAGATGAGCAAGTCCCCCCATTTACTCTTGCAGGTAGAAAGTGCTACTCTGATGTCAAAGGCTAGAGGGTCAGGAGCAGTGACATTTTTCTCTCTGTCAAAGAGCCTGACACACCTGACATATGGACTGCAAGAGTCGATGAGGAGTTAATCACAGCTGTACGGTGCCTGCTATTCACATGTGTCCCATTAGAAGCCTGCCAGATTGTCCTAGGACAGCAGCCATGGTATATAACCCCGCAGAGTATTCTTTCAATCAGGGAAAGAAATAGTCATTTTGAGCACAAGGCTACAGGGACGTAGGAGCGCCTCGACCCAGGTGCGGCTCACACCGTGCAATTCCACTGACACAGCGTAGTGCTCGGCTGATAAAATATTCCCCGTCTGTACAGAGGCTTTAAAAATCAGGCCCTGCCATGAGAATACATTGTTTTATTTAAAAGAAAAAACAAATCACCGTCCTCCCTGAGGCTAAGTTCAACTTGGTGGTGGGAAGCGCCATCAAGCTGAAAATGACTTAGGGTGACTACATGAGGTTTCTCAAGGAAAGAGGCAAACAGAGGTGAGTTGCTGTAACCCACTGCTGCACAGCAACCTTGGACTTCCTTGGCGGTCCCTCGTCCAAGTCCTAACCAGGACTGTCCCTAATCTGGCTTCCGAGAACTGACGAGGTCGGGCTAGCCTGGGACGTCCAGGTCAGGCTGAGGAGTAAGTACCCTGGGATTGTGGGAAATACAGCTATCACTGGCTATAGGTGGCCGTCAAGTCACAGCTGCCTGATGGTGACCCCATACGGTAGGGTTTCCAAGGAAAGAAGCAAGCAGAGGTAGTTTGCCACTGCCTGCCTCTGCATAGCAACCCTGGACTTCCTCTGCCGTAATAACCAGGGCCAACCCTGATTAGCTTCTGAGATCTGACGAGATCAGGCTAGCCTGGGCCACACCATCCCATTCTGTTAGAATTCCGCACCTCATGCCCAAAAGATGTCTGCCTGAGGTGGGGAGGGGCCGTGGCTCAGTGGTAGAGCACCTGCTTGGCCTGCAGAAGGTCCCAGGTTCAATCCCCAGCATCTCCAGTTAAAAGGACCAGGTAGGAGGTGATGGGAAAGACCTCTGCCTGAGACCCTGGAGAGCCATGAAGTGGGGCCGTGGCTCAGTGGTAGAGCATCTGCTTGGCATGCCAAAGGTCCCAGGTTCAATCCCCGGCATCTCCAGTTCAAAGGATCAGGTAGGAGGGGATGGGAAAGACCTCAGCCTGAAACCCTGGTGAGCTGCTGCCAGCCAGAGTAGACAATACTGACCTTGATGGACTAAGAGTCTGATTCAAAATAAGGCAGCTTTGTGTGTGTGTGTGTGTGTGTGTGTGTGTGTGTGTGTGTGGATTCAAGTTCTGTGTACCAACCCATCACCTTTCCCAGGAAGGTCTGTAAGGCAGAGGTGTCGAACTCATTTGTTACGAGGGCCAGATCTGACATAAATGTCACTTCGTTGGGCCGAACCATGTGTGCCATAAAACGTAATGGTAGCTACCAGAGATATAAATTGTAAGGACAGCAGCTGGTAAGCTCCAAGTTGTTGTATCCTCACTGTGCTGGGAGGGAGGTGCAAAGGAAAACCCGCATGGGCGGACTGGACAACCAGGGGTGCAGCACTGGGCAGATGCTCCTACACTGCTTGACTGCTGCAGACAAAGTTGTTCCGCCATGCTGAAGCCACAATTGGGGTGGCTCTGCCCACTCCTCCCTGAGCAGTCTCCTGTTCCATCCCTTACACTAGATGCTTGCGGGCCGCATAAAAGCCCTGGATGGGCCGAATCCGGCCCCCGGGCCTTATGTTTCACACCCCAGCTGTAAGGTCGTGCAAAACTAGAATCTCAGCCAGTTTCCTCAGAACCTGTATGCTGGACTACTTGTCTGGAAATTGTTATCTGCACTTGAGCGACTCATGCTGGAGATCAGCACGTGCCAGTCTGATTTAGCGCTCCCCTGGCTGGCCAAAATCAGGACACCAATCTACCGTTTGACTGATGACACAGTGCTTGCCTCCCCCTGAACACACTTAGTAACCGTATGCCACTGATTCCAGCTAGATCCAACCTCTCCAGGCCCCGGATACCTGCCAGCTAGATCCAACCTCGAATATCCAGTTTAATTCCATTGCGTCACCCCAAGAACCGGGGAGCATGCTCCAGATGCAATAAGTACCGCAGAGAAATAGAAGAACCACAAGCAAAACACCACAGGAACCTTGGCGGTGGGAGGGGGGTCAAAGCACATAACAAATTGTTCCATTTCCAAAGGTTAGCATTAATTACATTAACACCCAACACAGAAACACTAAACACATTTCCCTCACGAAAACCAAAAATCAATTAAGCCCAGCCGTAATATTTCAAAGTTGAGAGATTTTTACCATAATGCATTGATTCGCTTTAGTATTCAATCAAAGAGACATTATTTTTTTTACTGGGGGGGGGGAGATGGGGGGTAGGAGAAGAGAGAACAGCATTTATACCTTGTATCCAATTATATACAACGTTAATCTAATTCAATTACATAATAATACAGTGCCGCGAGAGAAACAAGAGATGTTATGCAGAGGCAATTTTTGGAGTACTAATTACAATCTTATTTAAGAATAATGAGCCTGTTCACAGCACCTCTCAGAATGGAAAGAGCAAATGCACTGCGTGTTATTTTGAGTTGTGCCCACTTTGAAATCTGTTACAAATTATGAGAGATCATGGGAGAAACTGATCAGCCAATACAAACAACCGTGAAATAGTTCCTAAGAACTTATTTTGTGTACATTTCTATGCAATGCACTTAAACCAGGGGTGTCGAACTCATTTTTAATGAGGACCAGATCTGACATAAAAGAGACCTTGTTGGGCCGGGCCATATGTGTCATAAAATGTAGTGCCGGGTAGCGGAGATATAAACTTTATAAAAGACACAGACAAACACAATTAAAGTTGCTTCATGTGCTGGTCAAGAACATGAGAAGGCATCCTGACACAGACTGAGGGCCATGTGTTTGCCTACAAAACTATACTCTTCCCCAGAGAAATGACCACAACTTCCTACAAAGGAAATGTGCTGGGTGACCTTGGTCTGGACAGCCTAATCCACCTCACTGGCTTGTTATTCGCCCTCTAAATTAGTTTATATTACTTTCTTACAGAGAAAGAATGGATCATGAGGGCATGAATACAGTGAAAAGGGGGAGAGAACGCAGCTACACCCAGGAGAGCCCTGGCATAAAGAGCCCAACAAAACACACACACACTGTAGCAAGGCACACAAAAACTCATACCTTGAAGAAAACTTTGTTGGTCTTAAAGGTGCTTGGTATTTCTCCCATACGATTGAGACAGCCCAGCAAAGCAAGCTCTCCCTCCCTCCCTCCCTCCAGGGAGGAGCCTCAGCCAGGGGAAGGAAAGAAAGGCTTCCCTTTGTCTCCTGTACACAATTGAGGCAGCCTGGCCCGGAAGCAAGCTCTGGCTCATTCCCTCCCTCCCCCTGGGAGAAGGAGGGGGAGGAACCTAAGCCAGTTCTTTACCAGACTCTCTCAACCGCACAGGAGAGGCTTGCCTATCTATCTCTCCTTTGTGATTGAGAGAGTCTGGTAAAGCATGCTGTGACATGGCAGCAGCAGCAGAAGTGAAAAACAAAGCAGGAAACGGCCAGGTCCTTGCAGGCCAGATGGGGGCCCATGAGGGCCTGATCCAGCCCATGGGCCACATGTTTGACACCCCTAACTTAAACCCTATAAAGATTTTTTTTTAACATTAACAGATACCAAAGAATTTTACAGTGCATATAATTCCTCTATGATGAATATCGTGCTTAGGTCAAATAACTGTCCATATAGTCACTCTGAACTTCTAATTGTCAACTTCTTCATCCGTTCAATGTGGCTTCTGTTTTATTTATAACAGAAAACAGTGTTAAGTATAGAACAAGACTCTTCTCCGACCTGTGCCTCCAAGATCTATTGAAGATTCACAACGAAAGCATAAACAAAGCAAGAGTAATTTGAAGGAAAACAAACAGCACTGTTTTCGCCAAGATGTATCATAGTATGTTCTATAGAATAACATGCAACAGATCTTTCTCCCTCACTGCAGAAACACCAACCAAACCTGATTCCATCCCTTTGTATCTTCAAAGCAAGAACATCTTCTTTAAGGCAGTTCTGCCATTTCCCCTGCTGTTAAGAATTTTTCTCTTGATCAGTCTGATGAATTCTGAGACAAAGGCCTCTGTGCTCTTTCTGGAGCTGTTCCATTGCTAGGCAAATTGTTTACTAAGGCTCCAGAGAGGGAGAAACAAAAGAGACTGAACTGCAAAAGAAACTAGCGGTAAACATCAAGTTCGAAGTGAAATGGATATAGTCAAGGATGTGAGCCACAAAGGGGAAAACACAGACCTTCCCTAATTTGCTGTTCTGTTTAACCCTCTGCCGCCAACATAAACACAAAATAAACACAAACCTTCCTTTCACAATGCATGACTTTGCCTTTAAAGGAGAAGACATCGGCTCTCCCTGTTTAATGCAACGCTACAAAAAAAGTAAACAGAAACAGTAAAGATCAATCAGTTCTTAGAACAGACCTTTTCTGAGTTTCAGCATCTCTCCTGGCGTGTTCCAAAGCCAGTTCTTCAGCTATTCTTTTCTTTAGGTCTTCTTCGTTCACTACAATTAAGAAGGGGGGAAACTGTAAATGCCACAAATATCACAGAAATGTTGCCACAACACATGTTCAGCACGAAGAGCAGTCAGGAGTTTTTACAAACATATTTTCATTTTTTTAGATTTATTTTATTTACAAGGCCCACCAAGGCAGCTAACAATTTAAAATATGCATTATAAAAATCACATTATAAAACAACAGAAGAGAGCAAGAGTCCAGTAGCATCTTTTTAAAAAGGTAAAGGTAAAGGTTCCCTTGCTCGAAAGCCAGCCGAATCCGACTCTAGGGTTGTGGTGCTCATCTACGTTTCAAAGCCGAAGAGCCGGCACTGTCCGAAGATGTTTCCGTGGTCATGTGGCCGGCATGACTAAACACCAAGGTGCACGGAACGGTGTTACCTTCCCACCAAAGTGGTACCTAATTATAGACTCGCAATGTCTTGCTTTCGAACTGCTAGGCTGGCAGGAGCTGGAACTAGAGATGGGAGCTCACTCCGTCATGCTGCACACTCGGGTCTCGAACTGCTGAACTACCGACCTTCCACAGCCTGCAGTTCAGTGTCTTAACCAATTGAGCCACCACAGCATCTAAAAGACCAACAAATTTTATGGCAAGGTATGAGGTTTCGTGAGTCACCGCTAACTTCTAGGGATGGGCACAAAGTGAAAAAAGCTGAGGTTCTTTTCAGTTCGTGCGGCTGCACGAATCTTCACAGACCACCCCATTTTGTGAGGTTCATGATGCAGTAGAATGGCCCACATTGTGGGCTAGAGATGCCGCAGGAGAACCACATGTAGATCCTGGGGTCAGCTTCTCCTCCTGCGGCGCAGTTCAAAGTGCACTGCAAGAGGAGAAGCTATGGCAGCCAGGATCTTCCAATGGCCAGGAGAGCACTCCCTGCCGCACGCAGATCCTGGGGTTAGCTTCTCCTCCTGTGACATGGTTTAAAGCACACTACGGGAGGAGAAGCCATGGCAGCCAGGATATACCTGCAGCCGGGAGAGTTCCCCGCCGCACGGACATCCATTTCAGCTTAACAGTGGGGCTGGTGCACCTGTCAGCTGTTAGGTTTAAATGGCAGCGAGCCATTAAACCTCCCCCATTTCACTCCCCCTAGGAGTGAGAGGGATCGCTGAAATGCTTGCATCTATTTCAGCCTAACATCTGATGGGTGCACCAGCCTTGCTGTTAGGCCGAAATGGATGCAAGGCATTTCAGCCATCCCTCTCACTCCACCTCCTCTTCCCACCACAAGCCACATGAACCTCCTAAAAAAAGTGGAGGGTTGTGGGAGGGTCGTTGATAGGAATGGGCACGGACCTCCATTCGCAAACCATGACCCAGTAATTTTCCTGATGAATTTAGGATTGTGACAAGGTTCATGCCCATCCCCTACGCACTTATTCAGACGGAAGCTCATACCATGCCCCAAATTTGTGATTCTAAAGTGCTACTGGACACGTGCTCTTTTCTACTGCTACAGACAGACTAACATGGCTACCCGTTTTATGATAAAACAATTAAGATAACACCCCCCAAAAAATGTACATCATTAAAACTTCAAAAAAACAAAAACAGAGTTACAGAACAGCGTTGAAATAAACAGAGAACCTGAATTAAAATACATAGAAAACATGAAAACATTTGTTAGGAATGAGGGATCATTGAGTGAATGCCAAAGCGAAACAAAAGAAGTCTTCGCCCGCTTGCGGAAGCCCATGACAGAAGGGAATGACAAATCTCCCTGGGGAGAGATTCCCAGAGCTTTGGTGCCATGATCAAAAGGGACCTCTCCTGGGTTAAAGGTCAAGGTCAAGGTCTCCCTTGCTCAAAAGCCAGTCGAGTCCGACTCTAGGGTTGCGGTGCTCATCTCCGTTTCAAAGCCGAAGAGCCAGCGCTGTCCGAAGACGTTTCCGTGGTCATGTGGCCGGCAAGACTAAACACCAAGGCGCACGGAACGCTGTTACCTTCCCACCGAAGCGGTACCTATTTATCTACTTGCAATTTCTTGCTTTCGAACTGCTAGGTTGGCAGGAGCTGGAACTAGAGACGGGAGCTCACTCCATCATGCGGAAACTCGGGTCTCGAACTGTGAACTACTGACCTTCCACAGCTGGCGTGCTTTTGTCAGGGACCCTGTTGAAGAGTCCACGGGCTCATCGCTTTGTCAAAGTCGGTTATCCCTATTCCCTCGACTTTTTTTTAATGAAACACCAGTCTCTAAGACTGTAATCAAGCGCTGCTTCACACTATCACCTCCCGCCACTTGCCCATTTAAAAAAAAAATAACCCTATATCCAACCAGTGTTCTCCTTGTAGAGAGAAGAAAAAGTACACAAAATCAAGGGCTGCTTTCCAGAGGGACGCAAAAAAATACAAACCACTTCTGAAATGGATACCTAAGCTTTTAGTCATTTGAGAGAAGGTCAAATCAGTCAATCCTAAAAGAAATCAACCCTGACTGTTCCCTGGAAGGCCAGAGAATGAAACTGAAGCTCAAATACTTTGGCCACCAAATGAGAAAGGAGCACTCCCTGGAGAAGACCCTGATGCTGGGAAAGACTGAAGTTAAAAGAAGACGGGGTCGGCAAAGGATGAGATGGTGAGACAGTGTCATAGATGCAACAAACATGAAGTTGAGCCAACTTCAGAGGACGGCGGAAGACAGGAAGGCCTGGTGTGATCTGGTCCATAGAGTCGCGAAGAGTTGGACTCAACTGTGCGACTGAACAACAACTCCAACAATTCAACTGCTTTTAAAGATCAGTGGGCTGTAGGAACAGGATTGCATTTGATTTAAAAATTAATCTAACGCCACGCTTATCGTTCACGGCAGGGGTCCGCAACATTTTGGAGCCCGTGGGCAACACGGCATTGTGGGCCGAGCTACAAAACGGCTGCTGCAGCAGGTAAGCTGCTGCAGCTTACCTCCAGTCACATAGTGAAGATACCTGTGCTGTGGTGGCAGCTGCTGCCAAAGCAACGTTTTTAAAAATCTGCACCGCCAGTCTCCAATGGCCAATCTGAAGCCTTGCTGGACAAAAGCCCCTCGTTCTCAAAGCACTCCGTGGGCGCCTGGAAAGGTTTCCGGCAAAGACCACATTGGGGACCTCCGATTTAGGGGATAATCTGCCAGAAACTGCAGTGTGACCCCCAACAAAATCAGTAAGAGTTATATCTGCCAGAAACTGCAGTGTGACCCCCAATAAATTCAGCAACGCCATCACTTTACAGGTGCTTGCTCAGGAAGAGCTGATGCTGGAATGTGCCCCTTGATTTCTTGTTCTCCTCCCCTGTTTGGTGTAGTGGTGAAGTGCGCGGACTCTAATCTGGGAGAACCGGCTTTGATTCCCCCACTCCTCCACTTGCACCTGGCTGGATGACCTTGGGGAAGCCGTAGTTCTGATAAGAGCTGTCCTTGAAAAAGAGCCATTTCTGTCAGAGTTCTCTCAGCCCCGCCTACGTCACAGGGTGTCTGTTGTGGGGAGGGGAAGGGAAAGGAGTCTGTAAGCGGCTCTGGGACTCCGAGTAAAGGGTGGGGTATGCCTCCAATCTCTTCTTCCTCCTCCTCCTCCTCTTCTTACCACCCCCACCCACCCGTTTCACAAACGGCTGTCAACCTAGCTGCACTTCCAAAGCAGCAAAATGTTTTACAATGCAATTGATTTTACGATTAATCTCAACTCTGGCAAGGAATTTTAATATTTCTCATCTCGGGTTTGTCACCTGACAACAAGCACACAATGTGTAACAATTAAGGTGTCCACCAGCCTATGTTGTCATGATTTCTTATTGTTTCTGTGTGTAAGAATGGATAAAAAAAGGCTAATGGACCGTAGAACCAACTTCTGAAGAACAATAAATAAGATTCAGGTATCCGCCAATAACGACATGGCACAGTTGACCTTAACAATCAATTAGGTTATGCATTGATCAGCCACATCCTAATAGGGAATAAAAGTGGAGCTAGAGATCATTAAATAGAAATTCTATTAGCTAGTGTAAGCAGGATAGCTCCCAAATGAGAAATTGAAGCAAGCCAAGTAAAGACCAATCCAGGAGGAAGGGCAAAGTATGAGAAATAACTCCAGCAAGTTTATTCGTCAGCTCAAATGCATCCAAGAAAACAAATAATTTGACTCAAATTGATGCATTAAAACAGCTGGGGAGACAATTTCTATTTAGCTGATGTGCATACATCATATGCAAATAAACCAGGGGAGAATACAGTCGAGCATAATTACTTCAAGTCAGGTCAAGTTCAAGTCACCGAGGGGAAAAAAGACTGTTGGCACAAAAGCTAATTTTTCTCAGGGAAGATTCTGAGGTTATGCTAACATTCATGAGATGGGTTTAAAGATATGACGCTAAGAGCCAGTGTGGAAAAGTCTGACCACGGTACAACACTGGCACTTCCATTGTATACGACACCCAGGATACTGTTGATCCCAAGAGCACAGCGACCAGAAGGGACACCTGATCTTAATAAGAACATAAGAGAAGCCATGTCAGATATCAGGCCAATGGCCCATCCAGTCCAACACTCTATGCCACACAGTGGCCAAAACCCAGGGGCCATCAGCAGGGCCAGAACTCCAGAAACCCTCCTACTGTTGCCCCCCAAGCACCAAGATACAGGGTGCATGGCTAGATCATCTTCAGTCCTACGGACTCCCACAGAATGGATGGCCAAATAAGCAGCAACTAAGTTAAGGACTCCATTTGCAAGACTTGAGCAAGGCCGTTAATGATGGCAACATTGCGGAGGTCATTAATTCAGAAGGAAGCGACTTGCTGGCAATTAACAAATGACATACACAAGTTGAGGACTATGTGTTACAAAAGATGCAGGGGTGCCACTGGGGTGCAAATCCCTGTGTCACAGGGGTGCAAATGTCTCGACCCCCCCAGCATCTGAGAAGTACCCCCTAGCATTCTACTGATCTTCTCCCTCATACACACATACTACCACCACCCAAACGAATAACTTAACTTCCATGCT